TGAGAGGTATCACCATGGTGAGATCCAAAGAGCTCTCTGAGGCCTTCAGAAAGAAGATTGTTGATGCTTATGAGTCTGGTAAGGGATATAAAAAGATCTCAAAAGAATTTGTAATCAGCCATTCCACTGTCCGGAAAATCATTTACAAGTGGAGAACATTTAAAACAACTGCCAACATGGCCAGGTCAGGCCGTCCAAGCAAATTCACCCCAAGAGCAGACTGCAAGATGCTTAAAGAAGTCTCCAAAAACCCTAAAATATCATCACGGGACGTACAGCAAGCTCTTGCTACAGTTGATGTCAAAGTGCATGAATCTACAATCAGAAAGAGACTGCACAACTTTAATTGTTATGGGCAGTGTGCAAGGAGGAAACCTTTGCTGTATAAGAAAAACATGAGGGCAAGACTGAAGCTTGCCAAAGAACACACAGACAAAGGCCAAGACTTCTGGAATAATGTGCTTTGGACAGATGAGTCTAAAATTGAATTATTTGGACACCATAACAGAGGGCATGTTTGGCGTAAACCAAATACAGCATTTCAGCAAAAGAACCTCACACCAGCTGTGAAACATGGAGGTGGAAGTGTTCTGGTTTGGGGCTTTGCTGCAGCAGGACCTGGCCAGATCACGATCATAGAATCCACTATGAATTCTACATTGTATCAGAAGGTGCTTGAGGAACATGAGACCATCTGTCAAAAAACTGAAGCTGAAGCAGAACTGGATCTTGCAACATGACAATGACCCAAAACATAGCAGTAAATCCACCAAGGACTGGCTGAGAAGTAAAAAATGGAGAGATCTGGAATAGCCAAGTCAAAGCCCAGATCTAAATCCTATTGAGATCTTGTGGGGTGATTTGAAATGGACTGTGCATGCAAGAAACCCCTCAAACATCACACAGCTGAAAGAATTGTGCATTGAGGAGTGGGGGAAACGTTCTTCTAGTCGATGTCAGAAACTGGTAGATGGCTACAAGAAACGTCTCACTGAGGTTATTTCAGCCAAAGGGGGAAACACTAGCTATTAGGGCACAGGGTGTCCTAACTTTTTCCTCAGTTGAAATACTAATTTTTGTTGATTTCCTTTGTTTAATAAGTGAAAACAAAGTGATTTTCTGTTGTTTACATGCAAGTACATCACTTTCATCTACAGGTACAAATTAAAACAAGATCAGAAATTGACATGTTGACATTTCTTAATAAAGAACTGAATATTTAATGGGGTGTCCTAATTTTTTCACATGACTGTATGTATGTATATATATATATATATAAGATATTTTTGCATCAAACCTCTCATGCTGTCAAATGCAGTGACAAACTAATTACCACCAGACCCTCAAGCACCCACACACATACATGCATACATCTATATACATACAAGTGAAAGAATTTAGTAATTAACACCATCCAAACAATACAAACTGGAGATTCAGAAACATAGGTTTGAGATATTTATTGCCATGTGTCCACAGGGACAAGAATCTGTCGAAACTGGATTTGAATCAATCCAACTGTGCATACTGAGAATCCCGAGGAACTAAAGCATGCTCTCTCAGCACATGCAGACATGCTGTCATGCTATTCTCTTTCCTTCTTGCCACTCTTCACCCAAATTTTACCCAGGCAAGAGAGATGATAAAATGAACAGACATTCTAATTTCTAAATCGAGAAAAGACGAAAAAAAAAACAAAAACACAATTAAATAATTTGCTTTGTGCAAACGAACGCTTGTTAGGTTTTTTTTTCTCCCCCTAGTGCCCCGATTTGTTGGTGGAAGTGAGCACATGGGGAGGGTTGGAGGATGTAATTAAACAAGCCATACAAGGACACACAGACAAATACACACAAACAGTTTCCAGGTAGTACATCATGCGTCATCCAGAGACTGGTAACGGGTTATCCCTCTCATGGAACGTCTCTCTCTAAAATAAAAAAAAAATTAAAAAAAAACATCGAATCAATAGGATGTATCACACTGAAATATAAAAATAATCTTTTTAGAATAAAATCAACCAGTGCTCAAAATAAGCGGATCCCTTTTTCACCTGTAATCAGTGCACTTCTGTCACTGCACTTCTGTCACTACACTGTTGTTGTAGAGT